TGATGGTCACTCTCTGTTTCCCCAGGGTCGATTACCAGTTCGCTGGATGGCCATTGAGTCCCTGAACTACAGCGTGTACACCACCAAGAGCGATGTGTAAGTCCTGCAGGCAGGGGCACCAGAGCTGGGGCATGGCTGCAGCCTCCTCCATCTCTCTCTGGGGTGGTCAGTGCAGCAATGCTTTTGCTCTGGGTGCTGCAAGGGCAGGAGATGATGCTGATGCATCTCACTGGTGAACAGCCAGCTTGGCCTGAGCCCTGGCTGCTCACTCCACCCTGGGCTTTGCCCCTTGAGTGACAGCAAGTCATGGTTGAGGGCTCCATCACAGCCGTGGCTCCTGCCCTTTCAGGTGGTCATTTGGTGTCTTGCTCTGGGAGATCGTCAGTTTGGGTAAGGCTCTTCTGTATTTCCTGCCTCTACTCGGGTCCTTGCAGGTCTGATCCTCCTGCAAGTCTGGAGGGGACACCCAGCGACTGTCCCTGCCACAACCAGCTGTGTCTCTCTCCACAGGGGGGACACCGTACTGCGGCATGACATGTGCTGAGCTCTACGAGAAGCTGCCCCAGGGCTACCGCATGGAGAAGCCACGCAACTGTGACAACGAGGTGTAAGTGGGCACAGAGCCCTGACTGAAGGTGACGCTGTGGCCCCCTGACCCTGCTGCCTAACAGGGCTCCCACCAACTTGTGGTAGCTTCTACCTGGTTCCCCTCTGCACCATGTCTTGGGCGTGAGCTGGGATCTCACACCCCAAACAGCCTTCCCAAGCTTTAGTTTCTTGTCTGCTTCCCCCTGTGTCCCACAAACAGCCTTTCAGCCCCTGTCCCCCATGCCCACTGCTCCACTGCTGCCTCTCTGCCCCCAGGTACGAGCTGATGCGTCAGTGCTGGCGTGACCGCCCCTATGAGCGCCCGCCCTTCGCCCAGATCTCCATGCAGCTCATCCGCATGCTGGAGGCCAGGAAGGTGAGTGGCAGCGGTGGCAGGGATGAGTGCAGGGTGCCCACATTGCCCCAGCTCTGTGGGGCAATGTGTGCACCTTTCACAGAGCTCATCCTAATGCTGGAGCACCCCTTGGGCTTGGGGGGAGGTGGCATCCAGCAGCAGAATGTGTGTGACCCCCATGGGAGTAACCTCAGCATCACTTTTCAAGTGTGGGGAGCCCCATCACTGCCCTCCAGGGCACAGTGCCTGTGAGCGTACCCACAAGGATGGGAAGTAGATGGGGACACCATCACAACTGGCTCCTGACTGGGGTTCCCCCACAGGCCTACGTGAACATGGCCCTGTTCGAGAACTTCACATACGCGGGGATTGATGCCACCGCCGAGGAGGCATGAGGCTGTGTTGGCGCCACGCAGAGGAGCAGGTCTGGCCCCAGCCTGCTGGGACAGTGCTGTGGGGACAAGAAGATGCCTGTCTTCCCCAGGGCCAAGCAGCCAAATGCCGGTGCCCCTTCCCAAGAGTGCCTTCCCCACAGCAGGACTGTGCCACCCCTTCCCTGGCTGCCCACCCAGCCTGAACTAGCCGTGTTGGCACACTGACAGCTGCTGACACAGCTCCATGGTGCTGGGGGACATGATGGGATGGCCCCCAAGGACAAGCAGCAGCAAAGTATTTGCAGCAGAGCAGGCAGAAGAGGAGCTCTCTCAGAAGCCAGACTGCTGTCACCTGAGCCTATGGACACAAGTGCTCAAGCTTTGGGGTGAGAAGTGAAGCAGCAACCCAGGAGCTGCTTCCCCTGCAGCTCTCAGCATGTCTGGACTTGAAGTGATGCCAGCAGGGCTGTGAGCATCGCTGCTGGCCTGGGACAGGATCACCCCAGAGGGTGCAAAGGGACAAGGGACAGCGTTGGCTGTGCGCAGCTTCCAGCTCTGTGGTAACCCTTCAGTGGTGCCAGCTCTGCCTTACTGACAATAAACATAGTGCAACAGGCAGCTGGTTCACTGATGGCACTGGGAGAAAGATGAGGGTCTGCTGCCACGGTGGGCACTCCTGGGGATCCTGTCCCTGTTGGGGTTGTCTGACCCAGGGATGCCCCAGCACCCCCAGACAAGCCCCAGGTCTCATCATGCCATGGGGATGGGTTTTCTTAGTATCCAACTGGGATCTCCCTCCCCCTGCAAATTAAGACTTTTGCCTGTCCCCAGGTGATATGGAAAACAGACCATGTCCTTCCTCTGTGCTGCAGCCTCTTGCATGCTTGAAAACTGTTCCTGCAGCTTCCCTTCAGCTGGCTGCTCTTCACAAGGACAGCCCCACTCTTGTGGCTGGTCTGCACGGATCTGTGTGGCTCCACACCCTTCCCACCCCAGCCAGCTGGCTGCTGCCCAGCACTGCACCGAGCCAAGCTGCTGGGTAACTACACATTTCTTGTGAAGGGACCATTGTGTCCAACCAGCCTGCTCCAATGTGTGCTGCTGGGGCAATTCTGTTTCTTGTGTTGGTCCTGCAAGGATCACCTGAACTCTGTGCTGACCCTCCTGTGGGACGTCCTGCCCCAGGCTGTGGTCCCATGTCCTGTGTGGCTGCAATTTGTGATATTGACAGTAGGTGGGCTTCTTTGTTGGCTCCAGCTTGCCAAGCCCAAGGCATGCTATCCCCCTGCCCATCTAGTCACCTTCTGCAGTCCATGGGAAGCCAGAGCCCGTTATCTCAGCCCAAGGCAGATGTGTTTGGCATTTGCCGTTCTGGGCAGAGTCTTTTTTCCCCGGGTGTTTCATCCATGTCAATACAATTTTGATTTCCCTTTCTGGCCTCCAGCGCTCTTTGGTGTCAATTGCAGCCATCAATAAGCAGCCTCTCTACCCCATCACTGAGATTCCCAGAGAAACAGTGATGAGAACCAGCCCTCACAGGCAACTTGGTATGTGCCACTGTCCCTGCACCTCCCCTTCTGCCAGCCAGAAGCAGCACCTGAGGCAGCAGCACCTGAGGCAGCAGCACCTTAGGCAGCAGCACCAGCTCTGCAGAAATTAAGGGCTTTCTGCTTTTTGCCTCCCTGATGGCAGAGCCCAGTAGCAAATGGAGAAGAAAGTGGGACTGGCTTGACAAAATTTGACTGTGACAATTTGGTGCTGGCAGTTCCTCTCTCCCTTTGGTGTCTCCGGTGCTGTTGGGATGAGAAGATGCCAGTGTTCTTGGCACTGTGTGGATGTGTGTGCAAGCAGCTCCTTGCACCCTGGCTGGTGCTTCCTAGGCTGTGGCACAGTGCTGTGCCCCCACGGGGTGGGACACCCCTCTGGCTGCCTGTGCAGAGTGGTGGTGGTGGATTGGCATGAGGGTGAGCGTGCCTGTGGGACTTCACCACAGTGACCCTGCTCCTGCACCAGCACCACTGGCATCCATGCAGGCCCTGGCAATGCCCCCTGTGCCCGCTGCTCTCCTTCTGGCATAGCCATTGTAGGGAACGGTCCATCTTCTTCCCCCCACATAAGACTAAACAAAAAATGCCTTTCAAGCCAGCAAAGCAAGAGTGACGCCTTTTCACTGATTCACTCAAGGACAGAATGAGCAGGCCTCTTGCTCTACCAGATCAGTGCATGGCAAGGAAGCAGCACAAGGGTTATGATAACTGGCAGAAAAATAAACAATAGATTAAAAACTGCTTCTAACAGAATATGTACCTGGTCAATGGTGATTGGCTAATTCAGACAGTGGTACCTTCTGCAACAATGATCTCTGATCTATAAAAAAGAGGGCAAGATCTGCAGGGCTCTCTCTGCTCGCTCTCTCTGCCTGCTTGGGACAGACCCCGCTGCAGCACCTGAACCTGCTTGAAC